TACCTATGATGTCAATTACAGGCCTCTCTCATCTTTTTAAGTGGGAGAACTTGCACAATTGTTGACTGACTAAATACTTATTTTCCCCACTGTATTTTCCTGTTAATGATATACATTATGTGAAATAACTAAAGTATCAAAGTGTCGATATTTTGATTTTAGTATCGATTCTTGAACACAAAGTTCTGGTATCGGTAGTTTCGATATTTCAGTATCGATCTGCATATCACTAGTGGACAGAGCCAGAATGCGTGGAGGTGGTTCATCAGTTGTGTGTAAATGTRTGATTCTGAGAGTCCCATGATGTGCATCCTGTGCTGTGTGAGGTGTTCTAGATTATTTTACATTGTATTAACTGTATGTTGGTGTTGTTGGACATGGTGAAAATGTTTTAGCAGACACACTTTCAAAACTGATTATCTGTATGGATATAAACTAGGCCTGGGTGAAATCTCCCATTTTTTTCCATCCCAAATTTGATTTTTGATTTTAATTGATTTTGTTTTCCTCTTAATGGAGTGCCTCTGTTTCAGGTGTTGAAAGAAATTAGCTGTATTCCTGCTTTTTGTAGCAAGAGCCTTCAAACAGATTTTGCAGTGAGGTGATTGTTACACCAAGTCCGAGGTTGCAAAACCTAACCAGTTCCAGATAGGGCTGTGTATTGGCAAGAATTTGGCGATACGATACATATCATAACAGAGGGGTCACGATACGATACATCCCGATATATTGCAACACTGTAAGCAAAGCAATATATTGTGATATATTGCTTTTTTTTTGTCCAAAAATTCTATTAAATAAAAACCTCTTACTGAAAAAAGAAATGCTAATGTTTACTTACAATGCCAATGCTACCCTTACTCTCTGGCGCTCAAGAGGTAGAGTAGCCAAATAGCTGGCTCACTGCTGCCAACTAGTGGTCAGAGGCTGAACTACAACATAAAAATGAACGGTTGGCAAGAAGATTGACATTTTAAACCTTAATAAAAAATTGATACAGAGCTTTAGAATATCGATACAGTATCGGGAAATGAAATATCGTGATATTTCAGTGTATCGATATTTTCTTACACTCCTAGTTCCAGATAACTGAAGAAACAGTCTTTTTTTGGGGGGGGGGGGGTAGATCCTCTTTGCTGTTGTCATGTTGTGTACCAATTATCCTGAAAAAAATCCACATTTTCCCAAAATTAAATCTTTATAAATGGCAAATTTGAATAAATCAATTAAATCGATTTATAGCCCAACCCTAATATGAACCATTTTATCCTTTAATGTAAAATCTTGAAATTAAAAAGAAAGTGTTTTTTCTTTCTCGCCATAATTATAAATGGTTGTAACTTATAGCTTTTAAAAAAAACATAAGAGATTTAATGCACCAACCATGAAACACAAACATGACTGATCTGAGCAGCTTATAATCGTTACGACATGTTTGCTCTGATTTCTCTCTCTCTGTAAGACCTAACATGGCAAAAGTACAGCTCAAAAACAAATTCTGTCCAAAGTTTTTGGTTTTATATTTCAMCAGTAATCTTTATTTTCAAAGATATAGAGCTAATTTTATTTGTGAAAGAAACAGCTTAGCTCACACTCACCTTCTGTCCTTGCAGCCCAGACTCTCTTGACACCCATCTCTGTCCCTTGTGGAGCAATTATGACAGTCAATTTTTGAGAAAATCCCATGAAGTGCCGCCCTCCCGAACACCTGACGCAGGCAGACTCATACAGCAGGTCCCATCATTTTTGATTTGATAAACCAATAAAATGTCTAAAGTTTAGAAACTATAAAGCTCATCCCGAGTCGCGGCTTCAGGTGTTAARGTGAGCGTCTGCAGGTAACACTGTGTCAAGCTGATACAAATGTGCCTTTCGCACCTGAAGTGACACTTTACTTAGAAAATAAACACGTAAAAATGAAGGATGGCTAAATATGTAAATACGGGGAGTCTGACTTTGAAATAGGCAGTGGCAGAGTATTTACATTAAACAGAATGAAGGGCACTTTAATAATCCTGTTTTTTAAAATCTTATATTTTTTAAGCTCATACATGCTTGTATTCATAATTGTTGCAGCATGATATGTTTGTATTTGTGTTGTGATTATATATTATAGARGGTTGACTGCTCCTGCCTAATGCATGTGATTCAGAACATTTAACAAAGGACCAGCATGTTGCACAGCTGATGATTTTTCTAACTCTCATTAGTTGGGTGTTGCCACAGTAGCAACACAACAGCCATGTTTGTCAGGCYTTCCTGGAAAAGGTGCCCAGAGGTTTCTGGAAAATGAGCTGGAAAATCCACTTGTACAGTTTTCTGACCCCATTGGGCCAAAGTCAAACTGACTAAATGCTTCCTATGAAAGTTYCAGACTTTTTTTTTCCAGGCATAACAGGCTTTTATGGAAAATGAAGCAAGTGTGTGCAAACACAGGATTTTAAGAACTGAAGCAGAAAATCCTACCAGCTTTCTTTATTTTTATTTTCTTATTCAAGCTGACTTACAACCACTGTTTAAAATTATTGCTTCAACAAGATTCTCATTTCTAAAACTGTACAACATTTATCATTTTACACACTTAAGCAAAATATTTTAAATACAGATTTGCAGGTGAATGCACATCTACCTACCAATAACAGAAAAATACACTTAAAGGAAAGCACAGTAGATTTTATTCAAAAGTTTACGTACACTCGTCATAAACATTATTTACAATATATTTACAATATTATATTTGAGGCTTTCAGTTATTTATTTGTACGTTTTAAAACACATATCAATGCTTTTATTTAATTATTACATTTTTTTGTTTGAATTCATTGTAGATTGTCTCCAAGTCACACAYGGTCAAAGTTATTAGGAATGCACCAATACCAGTGTCGAGTATTAGTTCGATCCCGTGTGTCTTCTGGTTCTACATTTCTGTTACCACTTTATGGCAATGTAATGTTTACCTCTCAGTTGCTAACCACTAATAAACACCAGAAYGAAAAAAAAAYGTATCAACCACCCAGAGAGCTGATCTGCCACCATCGTTCTGCACCGTTCTTAGGAGAGTTGATATCCCCAAAACTGACCGCGGTTATCAGAGTTTTTCTTTTAACGAGCCTTAATTAGTAGCAGCTGCTGACATAGTCTCTGAGAAAGATGCTAAGCTAATGCTAGGCTACTGCTTCAAAATAATGACATATTCTTGTTGAGGCCCAACAGTTCAATTTTTAGCTTGTATAACCATAAAACTCTTCTCCAGAAAGCACTGAGCTTGTCCATGTGGTCAGCTGCACATTTCAGTTCAAGTTGAAGTTGTTGCTGTTGTTGTCATGAACCATCTCAGTTCATGTTTATGTAAAACTGGCTTCGTTGTTTTCAGACATGTTTTGCAGTTTCCAGTTCATGGCAGACTTGAGCCTTTTGTGACTCCTGGTTTGTTCCTGAACATCTGAACCAATTTCCTAAAGCACAACCCCAGTTCCAGTGAAGTTGTGARGTTGTGTAAAACAAAAGTAAAAACAGAATATAAGGACTTGCAAATCAGTTTAAACCTATATTCAACTGAATACACTACAAAGACTAGATATTTATTGTTCAAGCAAAAACTTTTTTTTCGTTAATATTCACTCATTTTGAYTTTGATGCCTGGAACAGGGGAAACAAAAGACTGGGAAAGTTGAGGAATGCACAAAGGACACCTGTTTGGAGCATTCCACAGGTAAACAGGTTGATTGGAAACAGGTGGTGTATGATTGGATATAAAGGGAGCATCCCAGAAAGGTTCAGTCGTTCACACAAATAGTCCAACAATTTAATGTTTCCCAATGTACCATTGCAAGGAATTTAGGGACATCATCATCTACAGTACAGTCCATAATATCAGACGATTCAGAGAATCTGGACAAATTTCTGAAAGTAAYCTGCAKGGCCGAAAACCAACATTGAATGCCCGTGACCTTTGATCCCTCAGGAGGCACTGCATTAAAAACCAACATCATTCTGTAACAGATATTACCACATGGGCTCAGYAACACTTCWGAAAACCATTGTCCGTGAACACAGTTTGTCTCTWCATCTACTAGTGCAAATTAAAACTCTTACCAAACAAAGCCAAAGCTATAGATCAACAACACCCAGAAACAACGCCAGCTTCTCTGGACCRGAGSTCATCTGAGATGGACTGACACAAAGTGGAAAAGTGTCCTGTGCTCTGATGAGTTTCAAATTGTTTTTGGAAATCATGGACCTTGTGTRCCCGGGCCAAAGAGGAAAAGGTCTGTCTTTATTATTATCAGCACAAAAATCCAGCCTCTCTGATGGTATGGGGGTGCATTAGTGCCCATGGCATGGATAACTGTCACATCTTTGAACACTAAAAGCTTATGCAGGTTTTGGAGCAACATATGCTGCCATCCAAGCCATGTCTTTTTCTGGGATGTCCTGCTTATTTGAGCAAGTCAATGCCAAGTCTCACTCTGCACGTGTTACAACAGTGTGGCTTCGTAGTAAAAGAGTGCAGGTACTAGACTGACCTGCCTGCAGTTCAGACCTGACTCCCATTGAAAATATGTGGAGCATTATGATGAGCAAAATACAACAACAGAGACCTCAGACAGTTGAGCAACTMAAGTTGTTCATCAAGCAAGAATGAGAGAATTCCAGCTACAAAACTTCAACAATTACTTTCCTCAGTTCTCATGCTCTTCTTGAGTGTTGTTCAAAGGAAAGGTGATGTAACACAGTGGTAAACGTGTCCCTGTCCCGGCTGTTTTGGAACGTGTTGCAGGAKTTAAATTCAAAATGAACGAATAATTGCAAAAAAACAACAAAGTTGATCCATTTGAACATTAAATATCTTGTCTTTGTAGTTTACTCAATTGAATATATGTTGTAATGGATTTGTAAATCATCATAGATTTTTTTTATTAATTTGTAACACAATGTCCCATCTTSACTGGAATTGGGGTTGTACCAMATTCTGTCAATGATCATCACTGAGAGGTTTATAGGACCTGGCCATGTCAAAGAAAAGGATAATCTAGAAGCTTCAGCACCTGAGCTTGRATTAAAACCCATAATTATTTTTGACTTTCAAGCCCATGATGAGTGGATGRAAACCTCTGATTAGAACTGTGAGAGCTTTATGAATTCAAGTTTTATCAGTTTACGACTCGATGTCCTGCAGAGTGTCTGTGATCTCAATGTGCGGTGCGATGATGTTTCTGTTGGGCTGTGCACTCCCCGGTCTCTGACACCACTCCCTCGTCTGCCTCATCATTCCGTAGAGACTCTCCCGGCACGGCCTGTGCATGAGCAGCACAAGCACCAGGCTGACGCTGCTCCCTGAGAACAGCACGCACTCGGCCACGCTCAGAAAGGCTCGCTCCCGAGGGCTCAGATCCCCGTCCAAGGCGAGCCGGGCTCCTCTCACCAGAGCCACGGTGTAGAAAAGCAGGCAGACGAACAGAACTACGCTGACCGCCAGGAACACGGGACCCTCCTCGGATCCAGACAGGAAACGACCTCTAGACTTCCACTGCTGGACGCAGCCGCTTATCAGAAGTCCAAGCTGAAGGATGAAGGGAATCAGAAAAGCTAGGCACAGTTTCGTAGCTGCGTACGAAACACCTGCACCAGGTGGATCCATGATGCAATCAGCATTTTCCTGTAGGCCACGAAGTCCAGCCAGCAGCAGACAAATCAGAGCAGGAGTCAGGATCACTAATGTCGCACAGTTTTTAGGCTTCCTGAGCAGGGCGTTGGGAGGTGGGTCAAAGGTGAGGACGTACGCCATGAGCAATAAAACCAACAAGCTGCACAGAGACGCGGTGTTGATGGTGAAGGAGAGAGCAGCGCAGCCCAAAGCCGTGCTCTGCATGTATTTAGGTCTGTGCACCACCATGTGGAGGGAGAGGAGGAGGAGCAGCTCCTGAAAGCCACAAAACACCCAGAGGAGGCTGTCGAGCCACGCCACCCGCCTGTGGGCTCGGTACGTCTGAATGAAGCTGTAGAGCAGAAAGCAGCCTGCGAGGAAGCCCAGCGCGCCGAAGAAACTGTAGATGTAGTTTGCTCTGGAGGCGATGTCATTGGCTGCAATTATGTCCTCGGCAGAGAACGCGGACGTTTCGTTAGAGGTGGTGATGTCACTGGCTGCGATRGAAACAGATGATGAGGAGGTGGAAACAGTGTTGGAGGTGATGTTGTAGAGAGATGAAACTGGAGAGGGGTTTGTCGTTACTAGAGAAGACTGGAAAAGAAAACAAAAATCACTWTTTAAACTTCACAGTTTTAAGCTGTTTTTGCCCATGTCTGTGTGTTTGTATCCTTAACAAAATATCTCAGAACCCACTAAAGAGATTTTAATGCAACATTCAGGAATAAATTATTGGACATGCATCTGTAACTGGAGTCAGCTCAGTTTAAAATGGCTGCCAAAGTCACCTGAGAAAACATGAAAATGGTGAGGGATGCACTGAGATTTTCAGCCGATATCAGATATTAATATTGCTGTTATGGACCAATAACGTTATTACACAAACACACAAATTATTTGTGTATGTGTGTACACACAGACACACTTGTGTCTTTTTTGATACCGTAAAAAACTACCAGACAGCTGACATGGCTCTCTACCTCAATTATTTCTGGCTGTGCAGCGTTTCTGCCATAATCAAACTAGGGCTGCCACAAACGATTATTTTAATAATCGATTAATCACCGAATATTTATTCGATTAGTGGACTAATCGGATCATACGTTAATTGAATATAAAACATACAGCTTATCACACCAGAATGCAGCTGCTATTAATAACCATCGTTAGATTTTAGCTATATGCTAACTATAAATAATTGCTGTGGAAGGCAAGTTCTGCTCTGCAGATATTGTACAGGTTTCTCTTTCATTTTCTTAAAATGATCCCACACTTTTGAGCTCCATTGCTGGGTAGCCATGATACCAGAGCCTGTCTGTATAATGTCTTGTGACGTCCACAGCCTACCCCAGTTACCACTACTGTGCATGTGTGTCAAGGACAGAAAGGCAGATGTGGCAGTGGAAGGTGTCAAAGTAGTTTGGAGAGAAAAACAAAGTAAAGAACAACAACAAAAAAAAGAAAACGATTAATCGATTATTCAATTAGTCATCGATTATTTTAATAATCGATTAGTCATCGATTAATTGTGGCAGCCCTAAATCAAGCACATACTGCCTGACCAACCATTTCCCCTCCCAAAACACAAATAACAACAAGCTGGAAATCAATATCGGATGTTAATATCGTCCCAGTTTTACTTATCGGATCAATATTGATATGCTAAAAAATTACCAACATCGGCTGATACCGATGTTAAGGCCCATGTTGTGCATCCCTAATATCTTTCATGAACCACTAAAAAGATTTTTAATATAACTTTAGGCGGGGGGGATATTATTGGTATTATGTATCTTTCAGGCACATAATTCAATCCTGTACCACAGTCAAATGACTGTTACCTTCATTTATTATGAAAGTTCTGTAATATCAAAAATAAATATGACTTGGCTAGTTTAAAATTGGCCTTTGTCTCTTTAAGAATCTCCTACCATTTCTGACACTCCCACTTCAGCTGCATCAGTGCTAGGGTTGGGCATAATCGTATCGTGTGCAATTAATCGTCAGAAAATCATTAATCGATTACTTTTTGGCACTTGGCAATTAATACAATTAATGCCACCTGGCAGACTGACTGGGGATTACTCCGGTCAGTCTGCTCAGTGCTCCTCTCCACCTCAAATATGACGAACATTAAAATAAAGTTCTGTAATTTATTTATCTATCTACACAATTTAAAATATGATGTATAGCCTGAAATCTGTAATTTTCACACAATTTGGAACAATTTTTTTACAAAAGCAAATCTTTCCCACTAAATTGGTAATGTTACTACGAAATAAGGGTGTCCAGGGACTCAGGGCATTAATCGTCAAATTAATCGTTATCAGCTAAATACAACAATTAATCGTGATTAATTTTTTTGCCAATATTGCCCAACCCTAATCAGTGCTTCGTGTCATTTTGTTTGCAGCTCAAATCTGCTGTCCTCCTCATCACAACCCGCGATGAGAGTGTTTCACCCCCTCCATATAAGATCTTAATATGTGATTGGTTAGAGGTTTGTGAGCACGGCTTGAACGCTGTGTTTTGCTTCAAACATTCACTTGAACCTCAAATATAGTAAAACGACCAAATACACATGAATAAAACAGACGTTTTGCACAGAGGAATCAGTCTGCAGAAAACTGTGGAGCTTTATTTGGGAGTGGTGGAAAAATGAATTTTGGCTTCATCTCAATTCATGGGCTGGATCTTCATGAGTACGTAGCCCATCTGGGCCACGTCCTTCCCAGTCTGGGTAGGCTGCATAAAACTGCTGTAAAATAAGATGGTTAAGCCTTGGTTTGTGTGACCATACACTACCCCGTTACCAGTGATCGGTTTCGTATCAGACTTAAAATGCGTTGAGATATTTACATGTCTTTTCACTGGAAGAATAACAATTTAGCAATTAAAACGTTAAACTGAAATAAATAAAAAACATTAATAATTTGGGTTTAGCTCCAGTATCAGTTCTTGCGTTTTATTTAACATCTTATTGTCGCATGAATTTCAAAAGCTAAGTTGTTAAACTTACTTTTAAAAATAAATTATTCAGTCAGTGATGAACCGTTCCTAACTTTGAATCAGTTTCCTGTGTATAATTCAGACTTGTAAATTGAACACACCGTTTCTTTCAGGAGTCCACATAATTAAGGATGGCTGCTACAMCTAAGGATACTTAGGCTACACAAAAATGGCTATACCTCAGTAAATTTTACAGATACAGTGATATAGTAGCTGAGAGTCATTTCCAACACATGCTGAAAGCTTTAACAGATCCTGTGAGAAAACAACAAAGTATTGTGCATAGTTATTTTCAAGGTTTAACTGTCTTCTTTAATACAAGAAGTATAAAACTCGTCATGAAAGCTGATATTTATTCCTTCAAGGAATGCAGTAGCTTTAGTTGTTGAGGGATCAGTGGAAACCTTTTCAGCGTCTCTGATTGCACAGAAACAAGAACCTCAGCTATCTTTAATCCACTTCATCATGTTTTAGGCCCACAAATAAGCAATCAGGTTTTCCCCAGGAACCCACTCTGTCAACACGGTTACTTTCTGGGTGAAGTCAGAGATGAGCTGACTTAGGTGAAAGTTGCCGCTCGCTAAAATATTCCCCAGCTAACCGTTTTGTATCCAAAATATTTTGAGAGCCCTCGACCCTGGCAGCAAGGCCTCCATTGAGGAACTTTCTGCTCGGGTTTTTACTCACCATGTTTGCTTTTGCCTTCCTCTCGCCTGTTTTTTTTTTTTAATTCCTCAGCCACCAGCTCTAACTTCCTCAGGGCTCCGGTGATGCTCGTTGGTGTGGCCACTACTCCTCGCACAGAACACTTATTATGTATCTGTGGGCAGCACCCCGGTAGCATACTTTCAGAATGACTTTGTGGCCACGTGATCTCAAAGTTTTGCCTTCACCTCCCCTTTTTTTTCATTACTGTTACTGAGGTCCAATAAATTAGAGAGCATACTGTTTCCCTTCTTTAACTTCCCCTGAGTCGCAGAAAGAGAAGTGTTRGAGTTGTTACAGTCTTTGGCAGGAAAGTGGATTTGATTCTGTCGAGCACTTCTCCAAGTTCTTTGCAACACATTCTGCTAATAAGAAACAGCAGGCGGGACGTAAACAGTTACTTTGTTTTTGTAGTGTTTGTGGRCAGGCAGACTTTCTTTTAAAGGTTGGTATTTTTAGCAGACGACCAAAAAGGCTGTGCTGAAGGTTGCTGAGCAGCACGCAGGAAGCTGKCCTCAGAGCTGCAGTGCTACAGGAAGTGATTCAAACCTAAAAAGATGTTTAGGTTTTGCTTGACTYATTGATCAAAGTTTTGAGCATTTTCTAATTCCTGTTTCTCCTTAAATGAATTTAGTTTTCCCTGTTCATTTATTTGTGCATGTTTTCTTACAACTCCATTTTTGAAAACTTTATAGTGAAAAGGCAAATAATGATGTGATTTGCAAATCTCCTAAACTCACATTTCATTCAAAATGGAACACAGTAAACAGATATGTTGTTGGAATTTATGTCAGATGCCAAAGAGGCTGAAATTTGTATTTGGATGTCTTCTCTTCAGGCCCTCAGGCAGTGCAGCATTAAAACCAGGTCTGGTTCTGATATAGGCATGACTGCACGAGCTCAAGAACACTTCCATAAATGATTATTTGTAAACACAGCACACTGTACCGTTCACAAATGCAGATTCAAGCTTTATTATGCAGAACTATCCAGAAACACTACTGTTATCTGTACCAAAGCTCATTTAATATGGACCAAGGCAAAGGGAAAATGTGTCAGGACTTTTCAAGTGTGTTTTATTTGCTGATGATACAACATTTTTTTGTTTAGGGAAAGATACAGAAAAAATGTTTGAGATGGTACAGAAAGAATTTAAGAAAATACAAAATTGGTTTCAAAAAAACAAATTGTCATTAAACTTGGATAAAACATTACATGATGTTTAGTAATAGGAAGACWACTGTTGATTTCTCATTTAAAGCAGATGGTACTGAGATCTGTAAAGTCAGTGAGGTGAAATTTCTGGGTGTCATCATTGATGACAAGCTGACATGGAGACCTCACATACATTATTTAAGAACAAAAATATTTAAATCTATTGGAGTACTGTATGAAGTCAGGGAGTTATTTAAAGGGATCCATGATTAGTTGTAACATTAGACTTTATTTAATAAACATATATTTTAACTGTAAAATAAAGACGAAAAAATACTGTAGGCTGTTTAGTTTTTATCATTTTTTAAACAAAAAGTTTAAAGATATATTACACAGATGGGGCCATTTTATTTACACGCAAAGCATTCTGGGTAAATGATGACGTGGATATGTCCACAGTGCGAGGCTGCTAGTGAGCTATATCCACCCTGAAGGTTAATCTTGGACAATATCTGATGATRGYCTCTTTTAAATGAAACCAGGGAGTGTTGACAGAGAGGAGAAGGTAGAAATGACTCAGCTGTAACTGAAAATATGGATGGAGGACAACAGAGCTGCTTCATGGAAGAACCTCAGCTTAGCCTGTTAGCTTTAGCGTTAGCCCCGACGCTATCACTATATATATGTATTAGCTTTACTTTCTGTAAATCATATAAACTTCATTTCACTTCTCAAATATCCCAGTGTTTGTGCCCTATATGATATATTTAACTGATTTTTTATCCAAACAATCAATGATTTATAAAGGTAAATCAGGAAAATTAACAAGGATGCCCAAACTTTTTCCTATGACTGTACTATATATACAGACAGAAAGTATCTATGCCACCTTTAGCTGTTATTAAAATGCTGTTTTTATGTTTAAATAGAAAATAAACTTATCTTCTCATCACTTCCTCTTCTAAATGCCTTGAAATTGACCTCTGTCTCTTTAAGAACCACCTTCTGCTTCTGTTCCGTCCCGTTTAGGTGCGAGGGGGGCTACCATGATGCAGTTWACTTGGCATCTGAAAATACATTTTCTCAAAGGTATTTTTAATCTGAAAAGAGCTTCACTGAGTGAGAACTAATGTTGAGAGCTCAGCAGACAGTTAAGTTTTACTTTCACCGAGAGCCTGCAGGAGTCATGGGCGGGGTGTGTCGGGAGGAGGGGGGTGCTCCGCCACGAGGACTTTTGGCTTAAAGACACGTCCCAGGGGCGTTCCTGATACCAAAAGGTGTTTCTGGTCCCCACCTGTCATTTTGTTCCTCAGCATGGCTTCATAAAAACACTGCAGGATTTCTCAAACATGCATGAATGAGTCAAAGCAAGGCTTTGGGCATGTTTTTTATGAGAGTATAACACAATAACATGAAATAAAACTTAAAAAAGTTGATTTTACATGATATTGCCCCTTTTAATGTGCCAGAATCCAGATCCGTCCAGCTGCTCTGAGGAGACACAGGAGCCAGAGGGAGGAGAGGACGCAGAACAGGACCTTAGCCCTGAAGAGAAGCGGGTCCTGGAGAGGAAGATGAAGAAGATTCGGAAAAAGGAGGAGAAGAGGAGGCTTAGAGAAGAGGGACAGACTCTTGTGAAACCACAAGTTACGGGACCGAGTGCATCAAAGCAGGCCTTGGATTACCTCACATGGTAGAACATTTCAGCTGTCTTTATCCATGTTTAGCATGTTGTGTTGAAAAGGCAGCTAGTTTCACATTCTTTAGCCTTACCATCTTCTGACAGCCAGAATTTAGTAAAGTTTTGTCTTTGTAATACTGCTGCTCATGGGAGAAACACCTACTGTAAAGATTAAAGAGCAGCTCAAGGATTATAAGGGCTTCTTAWACAGAATTGTTGACAGACTCCACTTTTGCTCACAACACAGCTGTAGTTCTTCACCCCCACTGTTTTTGTCATTGCAGCTGGGCTGAAAAGCGTTCAGAGTGGAAGTTCCAGAAGACCAGACAGACGTGGTTACTGCAGCACATGTTCGACTCTGAAAAGGTTTAAATAACTTCTCAATGCACATCATGTTCACTCTGGGTTTAATCAGCTGAGTTGCAGGTGCTGCTTGTCCAATTGGCTCCTGTTGTTCACTAACCATGCTTTGCCTGTTTTAGACCAAGTTCAGCTTATGTTGAGATAAGATGGAGTTGAGATGTCACTCAAAGTATACATTCTGACATGCAGCTGTTTTATGTTTTCTCACATCTGTTAGCTTTGGCAGCCACCTTAAATTGGGTTGACTCTAAAAGTTAATCAGGTACATCCAGTAAATTATTCCTGAAAGTTTCATTAAAATCTGTCCGATGGTTCATGAGATTTTTTACTCAATCAATCTCAATCTGTAAGCGCTCAGAATACAGTAAATGATTTAAATGCTGTGGATGACTCTCAGGTACTACCATGCTGAATTGTAGATCAATATCTGTAAAACTGACTGATTTATAATCATTTATGTTTTCCCTAAAGTTCGTTGGCTGAGACAGCCATCTTAAATTGAGCTGAAGTAATAAGTCAATCAGCTGTAGATGTACATCGGCTGATTATTTTCTGAAAGTTTCATCAAAATTTTTCTGGTGGTTCATGAMATATTTTGCTAACAGACACACAAACATGCGCACAGACACAGGCAAGAACTTTCGACAGCATGCGATGATGATGTGGGACGAAAAATATGAAGGAAAGRTGTTTTTGTTCCCTCAGATTCCAGACGAGAAGTTCTCGGTGCTCCTTCAGTATCTGGAGGGACTTTGTGGACGAGCGAAGGAGACGACGGTGCAGAAAGCTGTTTCTGTGGTGGAGGACTCAGGACAGGAGATGGAGGACTCAGATGTCCAGCAGAGGGCGCAACGAGCCAGAGAAGTCATTCAGCTCCTTTCTTGACCCTACAGCAACTAAAGGACTAATCTACAGCTTGGACTAAAAGATTATTTTTACTTTAGTTTTTGAAAAGTCTTTGTGTTACTAATATCTTTATTTTGTTTTAATGACTTTGTTACTCTTTCATGTTCTGTTTCTTGTGAATTGTTTGGTGGAAATCAGTCAGAGGTACCTGTTTAGCAGTTACACTTCCCTTATTTCACTATTTTTACTGTTTCTAATACATAATAACTCCTAATTAAATGGTTTGTTTTTCTATAGAGAACACTTTATTCAAGAGGGGTAGAAACTCCTCGGGTTGAAACAGAAAGCTAAGCTATTTGTRGAGTTTAAAGTGTCAGGAATGTTTATAGTCAAGACATGTAAATGCATGTCGAGGCTCAGAATCATGGACACAAATACCTTCTGTTACCCACTGCAGGTGTAACCGTGTAGACCAGTACGGTTTGTTATGAAACTAGAGCAAAACTTTAGATTTGGGCTTTCATTTGATTTTCTTACTAATAAAATTTAATTAATAATTCAAGTTTAGTGCTGCAACATACGATAAATGTGAATCTGCTCATATTTTGTAATTATTGTAATATTTTGTAACAGAAATTCATCTGCCCAAGTCTCGTTCTGTATCGTTGCACTTCCTTTTGAGTTTTCCACCAGTTATTTTAATACATCAACCACATTATGAATGTTTCACAGCTGCTTCAGCTGTTTTTGTGAGTCTGTGGATTACACAGGTTTTGACAGCACGCGCTTTGGATGTATTTCAGATCTTTTCCATCAGCTCTTCAGAATGCGTTTGAAACAGTCAGGCAGCATTAAGGTCAGCGTGTTGACATGGGTTTCTGGGCTGAAAGAGTTCACTTAGAAAAAAGAAAGAAATTTTGAATGAGTTTGAAGGCTGGTGACTTCCTGAATGAAAGTAACCACAACACAAAAACATCACATGTAAAGAAATTAAATAGTCATTAAAAATACAACAAAGGATAACTTGGAAAGTGTCTTTTTTTTAGCTTTGTTTGTTGTGTTTATACAAGTGTATAAGGACAGGCCTTTTCAGTGTACTTCCTTAAACACGATTGAGAAAACGTGCTTTGCACATTTAGTTTAGACGTGTTGAAATGTTTTTTTACAGTACTGTATATTCCTTCTTTACCTACATGTTGTTTATGTGAGACACTATTTTGACCCGTCTCTAGAAAATGCAAGTTAACTGTTCATGAACTGAATCAGTTTTTTCCATTTTGTTAAATAAATCCCACTATTATGTTGAGTGTGTAAAGGGTCCAAAAGGCTAAATGGCCTTGATTTCTTGAAGGAATGCATATCACCCACTGCCTTTCTTGGCAAGGTTTTAAACCAAGATCAACTTATGTTCAGAAATAAGTTTTTATTATTTTGGTAAATGTGTTGGTGCCTGATAACCATTAGAGATCACTCTCAGCTACCACCACACCATGCCTAGCTCCTTATCTGTAAAATCATGGACGGATTTATAGCCCTTTTGTGTTTAATGTGGTCATCTGTGGTCTCCATCTTGAATTTAAAAGTTAATCAGCTGAAGATGCAGTGATTACTTCATGAAATATTTTACTTATGTGGCAACAAGGTAACCAACAGATGGGCAAGAACATTATTGCTTACATCATGTTGTATASGAGAAAACTTAGTTCAAGTATTAGTAAAGAAAACAAACTCGGACCTTTTCTCTGTTTGGCATTTGCAGAGCAATAAGCATTTTATTCAGCATCTTTGTGGCTTTCACACCTGAGTCGTCTTTCAAAAACAATCATTCACGTCAATTTTTTTCTCTGTGCATGAACTGTTTGTGCACCTGTTGGAGAGGACAGGTCAATTACACAACTACAGCTTCACTCGGCACACTGACCAATGACACTCCAGTGTTCTCCTGAGCGCCAGTCGCTCCGTCTCACTGCAGATCTACGAGGCCGGTGTCTCCTCTCAAGTGTTGATCCTTCACCGTGACACTCGCTATTTCTTTTTCTTCATCTGTCTCACAGAGAAAACAATATTACACAATTTTTATGTTATGTTATAATAAATACATAAACTCAGGGAGCAGACTTACTTGTCTGTGAATCAAACGGAATATTATGTTGCCTTAGGAGAGCACGCAGCCTCTCAATCTCTTTTTTCTGTTTTTCAGAATTCTGTGAAATATCAGGCACATTAAGTTTGATGCTATGTATAAATAAAGTGAGTGTGATAAAAGCTTTGTGTAATATTTAGATGGATAAAGTTAATGAACTTACCTCTTCACATTTCTGTAAAGAGTTGGTCTTTTCTGGATCTGCTTTGGCCTCTGGCAGATTGGTTTTGACTTTGAGGCTCTTTAGGAGTCCTGCATCCTCAAAAATATCCCTCAAGAGGTTGTTGTACCCCTGTGATAAGTAAAGTGGCAAATATGATCAGAAAACTTGAGCATAAATAGCATTAAATTTGAGCTTCTATTGGCGTCTAATGTTCAAAATAGACAAGGAATAAACTTTCAGTTTAAATCAAATAAATATGAAAATTGAGATGAATATGTGAACTGAGGTCTGTCTGTGTATTCTCAGAGTGATTTTCACCTGCTCAGTAATAAGACCATCATAGCGAGCCTGCTCTGCTTCATCCCATTCCTCCTGGAGCTTCTGATTCAGCGTCGGGTACACTGCAGAAATGAGCAAACAGATGATTATTATGAGAACTGTCAAACCAGGGAGCCTTGGAGATATATATTTTTTAAATCTCTGGAATCTTACCTAAAAGGGAGTGTGGATGGCAAACAAGTGGCGTCTCAAAGATTAGGGAGTACACACAGGTGCTGGGCTCGGACACCTCAGACAGCTTGGTGTTATTGCTGCAGGCCAGAATCACCTAAATGCATGAAACACACTTTAGTTCAATTTTCTATGTGCTCTGAAAAAAGAGGGTGTGATTTGAAATGTGGGGTTCTGAGGTTAAGTGATGAACAGCTAGAATCTTACCTGTTGCAGATAGTGTTTGAATGACCTCAGTTTGGGCAAAAACAGTTTTATTTTGACTCGACAAACTAATGAATACTCTGAGCGGTGCCAAGACAAACGCTATGGAATTATGGAAAATGAAGTTTTCAAAAAGCAGCAACATATTCTTTGGTCTTTGCACCACTCAGACTAACTGTAAGCTCTTCAGTCCAGTAAGAATTGAATTTTGATTATTCAAACTGAGGGTGGTTTAAGAGCTATCCACAGCAGGTAAGACACTGATTTGAGTCTTGCTACTAATCAGAACCAATTAGAGGTGGATTATAAATGTCAGAATGCAAAACATTATTTGTTTGAGGAAACAGAAACATGCATCCTCTTAGAAACTGTTTAATGAATATAAATGTGTGTCACAAGTGTGTTTTAAACACCTTTGTTTCTCTGTTTCTGCTTCCACAAGTATCACCGTCTCTCATCCACATGCCTGTGAAGGTGTTGTTCGCCATTTCCCACTCCTGCCAGATCCTACCAGGGACACACGTAGATTTTGTTTGACCCACAGTTACCTCACATGTTTCAAATTGATATTCTAAATATGTGAACTGCAGGGAAATACACTCACCGGCCACTTTATTAGATACACCACGCTAGTAACGGTTTTGTGGTCATAAAGGGATGGACATGGTCAGCAACAATACTCAGGTAGGCTGTGGCGTTGCAACGATGCTCAATTGGTACCAAGGGGCCCAAAGAGTGCCAAGAAAAGATTCCCCACACCATGACACCACCACCACCAGCCTGAACCGTTGATACAAGGCAGGATGGATCCATGCTTTCATGTTGTTGACGCCAAATTCTGACCCTACCATCCGAATGTCGCAGCAGAAATCGAGACTCATCAGACCAGACAACGTTTTTCCAATCTTCTCTTGTCCAATTTCGATGAGCTTGTGCAAATTGTAGCCTCAGTTTCCTGTTCTTAGCTGGAAGGAGTGGCACCCGGTGTGGTCTTCTGCTGCTGAAGCCCATCTGCCTCAAAGTTCGACATGTTGTGTGTTCATAGATGCTCTTCTGCCTACCTTGGTTGTAACGGGTGGTTATTTGAGTCACTGTTGCCTTTCTATCAGCTCGAACCAGTCTGCCCATTCTCCTCTGACCTCTGGCATCAACAAGGCATTTCCGCCCACAGGACTGCCGCTCACTGGATGTTTTTTCTTTTTCGGACCATTCTCTGTAAACCCTAGAGTTGGTTGTGCGTGAAAATCCCAGTAGATCAGCAGTTTCTGAAATACTCAGACCAGCCCTTCTGGCACCAACAACCATGCCACGTTCAAAGGCACTCAAATCACCTTTCTTCCCCATACTGATGCTCGGTTTGAACTGCAGGAGATTGTCTTGACCATGTCTACATGCCTAAATGCACTGAGTTGCCGCCATGTGATTGGCTGATTAGAAATTAAGCGTTAACGAGCAGTTGGACTGGTGTACCTAATAAAGTGGCCGGTGAGTGTATGTGTGTCTGTAGCATCTTACCCCAATATTCCACTGTAGGCATTCCACCTGAATGACTGCTCGTGTTGAGTTACGTTGTGGAAGGGACAGAATTCATATTTGTACCTGCAAAATAACCAGTTTACACTGCTACAGTGTTGTTGTTTTCCAGATCATCAGGATGTGTTTAATACTTACGTTGACTCTATGAGGCTATAGCACTTCCCAGCAAGATGATGAAGGTGAACTGGGCCTTTAGAAGTACATTAGTTATTGATTACATTCAGCGATTGGCAAATTATTTCACTCAACATCAGAAGTTTAATAACTGTGACATATATAAAGTTCAAAAATATTGATTAAATAAAACTGTCTGTAAGACTCATTTTACCAGAAACTGGTGATGGGGGGACTTTAGGCTGTAATCTGCTTCCCGGAGCCACAAAAGGATTATTCAACCTAAACACAAATAAAAACACTGATGAAAAAGCAGCCAGCATTGTTCGCTGTTACGTTTTATAATGAGATGTATGCTTGCTTCACTGACCCAAACGTGTTTGGCTCCTCAACTATCTTCATTTTACCAGCCAATGAATGATTGACTGTAAAAACATATAAATACCCGAGTTTAGACAATTAGTTCATAAAACAGCAYCACAAAACAATATGGCGTATCTAGTTTGGCTTTGTTTTACGAAAAAGTATTCGGTAGAAGTAAAAGTACTTACTGTAGAACGACAAACAAATGACCAATACTGCAACAAAATTTAATACTGTGCTATAAAAACTATGCATGGCTGATTAAAGCATTTATTAAAGAATCAAATGTTTCGTAGCATTTCCGGTGTTGAGTCGAGCCTTTCCCGTGATAGATCACGTGACAAAAACAAAGCCCTGCGCATGCGCCGTTGTTTATGAAGAGTAAAACGTGCTTCCTGCGACAACAAGCTAGGTTAACTGGACATTCAGGACTTTAGTGAAATATATAGGAAGGGAAGGAATTAGCTAAACCGAGAGGATGTATTTGGGCTGTAAACGTTTTTAAGCTTTTATAAAACACTAAAATAGTTGGTGTCAGTGTGTGTAGCAAGCTCAATTTCGTTCGTTTCAGTCAAATCGGACAGGTTACTAAAGACCACAACATGGGACGAAAGAAACAAGGCAAGTTTGTGCGTCCTGACAATAGGGGCAAAGATAAACGGCACAAAATGAAGGGGAAAACCTTAGAAGCCTTTACAGAAGAAATGCACTCCGCTTTTGAAGGTAATATTTTTGTTTTAAAATGTGTTGTTTGTCCTGTCAGAAGTAAACAGTTCATCTACACGTTAAAACCATAAAATGTAAAATCAGTATTTGTGCCAACTTCTATAAGGTTGTGACAACGTAAAATTACGCTATATTGCAGTTATTAAAGAGTAATTAATTGTTCAATCTAAATATATTTAAAGGCCTAGAGTTTTTTTGTTGTATGCATTTTTTACTCCACAATTAACTAAGATAATGTTATGAGAAGGGACATGCTATTTTAGTCTGCTGTTAGCACTCAGAGTACGTAGAGGATGACTCTCAACTACCACCACACCAAATTTCATCGCAATATCTGTAAAACTGACTTAAACTTGAACTGAATTAGAGCCATCTTTGTGTTTGAGTTCAGTTGATTGTGGTGCCCGTCGTAAATTGGAGTGACATTTCATGTCAGTGATTAATTTCTGACAGTCTCATAAAAATGTGTTCTTGGGTTCACGGAACACAACAGACAAATAAACACACCGAAACAGGCAAAAGTCCATATTTGACTTCCTTTTGCCTTTTTTTTTTTCTCAGCGAGTCTTCACGTCGAGGAGGGAGCAGAGGCCCCACAGGTGAAACTGCCCTGTCCACTTGCTATGTGGGAGTTGGGTCACTGTGATCCGAAGCGCTGTACGGGCAGAAAACTTGTGCGAAAGGGATTTGTGCGAAACCTGCGTCTCAACCAGAGATTCAACGGACTCATACTGAGTCCAATGGGCACAAAGTATGTGACACCAGCAGACAGGTCTGTTGAGCCAGAGTCACATAATTTATGTTCTTTATTCAATTCGTATTTGTTGTTAGATCAGTAAAACTATATTTGGGCTCCTMTACACAGAGAAATTGTGGCTCAGAGTGGGTTAGCAGTGATTGACTGTTCGTGGGCCAAACTGGACGAGACACCCTTCAGTAAGATGGTTGGAAGTCACCCCAGATTACTGCCGTACCTTGTTGCTGCAAACCCTGTCAACTATGGCAAACCCTGCAAGTTGTCGTGCGTCGAAGCTTTCGCTGCCACATTCTGCATCGTCGGTGAGAGTTCAGTTATGCGCTAAAAACTACTGGGTCGTATTTTGGAATCCCAACAGTAAAGTGATGGATGTGACGTTTCAGGTTTTGAAGAGCTGGCTGTGCTCCTGTTGAAGAAATTCAAGTGGGGGAGCGTCTTCCTCGAACTCAACCGAGTTCTGCTCGACCGCTACGCCGGCTGTCAGTCAGAGGAAGAGCTGCTGTCTGTAGAGAAGGACTATCTCACGTTGAAGCCGAAAGAGGAGGAGTTTGGTAAAAATAGTTGTTAAATAAACCATTAAGCTTGCCATTACAGTGTGTCTGTGTTGTTGTGGAATGACTTCATCTGGCTTGGCTTGTTATTCCACTTCATATAAATTTCTTTTTAAGTTTCAGTTTGTCTTGTGCAACTCCAAATGTTTCTGTTTATCTATAACTTTATTGTTAAACATGTCATCTTTAACATGGCAGAAGCACAGTAACAGAATGATCTGTTCAATTTGGCTGATTTGATCCAGTCAATGTAGCGCCTGTTCACAACAAATTTGTCTCAGGGGCACGATATAACAGAAATAACAAATCTGAATCTTTTAAAACTCAGAGGAACATTTCTCTCTTTTTTTATTTTTTAGATTTATTAAGTGTTAATAAATAAAAGGTTTTGTGTTCTTTTCATAGATCCATTTGATGTCAACTCTGGGGTTGAATGTAGGAATCTCAACAGACATCAGAGGTAAGGATCTTTATAATGTTGCTTAAATAAACGTAAACCTGCAGGTACACCAATTTGTTTCTTTTTTATTTCATCATTAAATTACATGATCATTAGACAAACTTTGTTAAACATATATTTTTGTTAAAGTATGATAACACATCCTTTAGGCAAGCATATTTTACTTTTCATAAATGAACATTTGTTTATTCTGCTGGAAAATTCAGGAATAGTCTGATCGTTCTATTCTTTACGTGTTAAACTGTTTAAATTTTGTGCTGAACGGTGTTCTTCTTTGAGAGTAAAATTGTCTGTTGACACTCTTTGTTTTCGATGTTTTCATTTCCTGATTAGTCATGGAAGAGTTTTTTTTAATGCATGAAGGATCTCGTCATAACATCACCACCTTATGAACATGCAGGTCTTTTATGATGCCTGTTGTTTTTTTTTTGTTTTGTTTTTTTATATTGTTTATTTATGAGTGTTCTTTGTCATTTTTGACAGATTTTTCTTTTTGTTAGCCTGAGAATCTCTTATTGCATTTGGACGGAAGCTCCCTGTTCTTTAAAAGTTGTAAAAAAGAAAAAAAAATGCAAAGTTCACACCAGTAATCACTGGATACTAAAATAACACTTCTGAGAACTAGCTATAAAAAAATACAGAGAAATCTTATTTTTATTTGATTATTTAGCGTACAACTAATTAAAGAGTTGGAGCTTGAATATAAAACAAGTAAAAATTACACAATTTTTTTTAAAAATCCAGAAATTGATCTCAAATTATTATTTCTCTCCCATCCTGTGTATTTCCTTTGGTATTCTACAATTAGCTAATTAAAATCATAAATAATTTGTCTTTTTATCTGGTTTTCTCACTATAAATACTTTTCTAACTTAAGTTTGTTTTTAAACTAAATTATATTTAAGCTCTTTGAGTTCCACACATTAAAAAAGTGGTAATTTAATAATCAAAATTAGATGTCATCAAGTAAAATCATACACTCACAGGTCAAAAAWGTCACCACCTGAATTTAACTAATGTCTATGATGTGGGYTGGCTGCAGTTGGTCAGGTCTAGGTTCAGCAACAGTATGTGCGACAAAGAACAAATGTACTGAATGACCAGGGGTCTCATTTATAAAGGATTGCYTGGAAACCATACTAAAAGTGAACGTACGGCCAAAAGGCGGAAATGGCGTACGCCAAAAAAAATTCAGATTTATAAAACCGTACGTACGCACGTTTCTGCACATCTTTCCTTTATAAATCATAGCCTCACGTTAGAGTTTGCGCACGAGGTCCAGCCTCAGGTTCTACCCTCTACACGCCCACACTC